TGGAGGCAGAGCTGCTCCCACTCTTTCTAAAATTAGTGGAAAAATATCTTCGAGTGAAGATGAACAAATCCTATATAATAAAGAAGTAATATGCAAATTGATCCTAACAGCAGAACCACAGGGACCGGCCGGTCGCTATGATACGCACTGACCACCAGGGGGGAGATGCTCAACACAGGAGCTGGCCCCTGGTGGTCAGTGTGCTGACAGGGGGAGCTCTGCTCAGCCAAAAGCCAGGCTGAGAGCTGCGAGCGCAGCAGGAGCCTCTCCCACCTCTGGCAGCACTGAGGATGTCTGGATGTGGCTCCCCGTATATATAAAATATGCCAGTGTTTGTTCTCTCTAAGTGAAATATACATCTTATATGTTCCCCACTGCCCATCACTCCACCATCACCTGTTCTCCTTTATCGCCACCATCAAGGAAGGAAGGAAACTGAAGAGCAAGGCTGCTAGTGCAGAAGCTGGCACTAGTTTTCATTTTTTCTTTTCTAAATCATCTGTAGACTGTGTCCTGGTTTAATACCCACTGATAGTTCTTCATATGTGTTCACTCAGTCTTCCAAATACTACTTTGAAGGTATTTTATAATCAAATAGCTAGAAAATGTCCCTTACCAGCTTCAAAAGAGTATCTAATTACAGAAAGTACAAATGGGGTCCTCTCTCAGTGATGCTCACATTAACAGTATTTAGAAATCATTTTAGATTTATAGTTTAATTGCAAAAATAATAGAGTTCTATATATTTCACCCAGCCTTGCCTAATGTTACCTTCTTTTGTAAAAGAAAATTTTTTAAAAAAATATATTTTTATTGATTTCAGAGAGGAAGGAAGAGGAAGAGAGAGACAGAAACACCCATGATGAGAGAGAATCATGGTGGATCGGCTGCCTCCTGCAAGTCCCTCACTGGGGATTGAGCCCACAACCCGGGCATGTGCGCTTGACCGGAATCCAACCTGGGACCTTCCAGTTCGCAGGCCAACGCTCTATCCACTAAAGCAAACTGGCTAGAGCTTAAAATTTTTTTGAAGTTTATTTTATTGTTGACAGTGTCACAGATGTCTCCCATTTTCCCCTCTAGCCTAAGCATGGTTCTAGTACTATTTCTGGCCCCACCATACTGCCCTCTGGTCATTAGTGATGCTGAACAAGCTGTTTGCAACACCAGGCCCACACTCCAGCCTTACATGCCAGGGAAGGCTGACCAAGATGTATTTCATCAGTGGGCTCCCTTTCCTTTCCCTTTTCCCTTCTGAGTGGGAGCAACCAAAGAAAGGAAACTGAAGGGCAGGGGATGTATCCATACCCTCCACGCTATAGCTCTTTCTCTGCAGGAAGATCCCTTTACCCAAGTCCACAACCAAATCTCTGCTCACTGTATTCAGCTGCAACTCTTCTACCTGCTCCCAACCTTTCGCCCCTTCAGGCCCAGGAGTGGCAATAGCTCTCTGATGTTATTAGACCGTCATTGTTCCATAAGCCTGCCCACACCTTTCAAACAATCCCTTTATGAAATTACCCTCAAAACCCCCAATTGAGCATGCAACCTGACTTTCTCCAGGGGCAAAGGCTGACAACCTAACCAAAGTGATGTTACCTCAAAATTGACTTTCTCTAAGAAGGGAATATATCCTTCTACCCGCAACACACAAAGCAAAGGTTATTTTACGTAAATGCTTTGACCTAGTGAAGTTCCAAATGATGCCACTCACAAGCCAAACTTCAAGAATCAAGGCCTGAAATGATTTCACACCTCTATCTTATTCAAGAGTCATGGGAAAAATTATAGCACAGCTCACAAGCTGCCGTTTATATATGAAAACAACCCCGTGATCATCAACAGAGCTTGAGCAGGAGCCGGGTCCTATGGCATGTGGAGGGGCAAAAGTTTGTGCTGACCTGCTACCCCCTCAATCACTTGACTTGGTTCCCAGAAATGGTCATTTCAGCTAGAGGAAAAGGGTCTCTCTAGTCAGGAATTGGAGATCCCTGTCAGTAATTTATAACTCTGAGCTGCAGTAGAACAAATATAGGTCATGGATACAGGTTGTTCAAAGGGGAGAGGTGTGAGACACCCAAGAAACTCCAGCCCCACAACTAGTCTGTGTTTATGAGTTAGCAGGTTCAGAGTTGGATAGGACAAGCTTCAATTCTATACCCAGTCTTTTTAGTCAGACTCCTTATTATCCAACAACTTTCTCATACATGATGAGGATGAAAGTTGGTCAAGGTACCTACAGCATCTACCCTAACAAAGGACAAAGGACCCAGGATATTTGAACATCTAAGAGGCCAGAGTCAAAGGAAGCAGGCTCGTTCTCTGGCACAATGCCAAAGGCAAAGAGAATTGCGAAAGGAGACCAGCTGTAACCTGTAGGTCCTATCATTGATCTCCTGGGTACAGCCAGCTGGTTATGAAGTCTGTATCCATAAAAACTTAAATTGAAGGTTGTACTCCCTTCCCCCCGCTCCACTCCCCCAAATGTGGAATTCGTTTTGCTAACATCTCCCTTCAGGGTTTTATAATATTCTACATTTGCTCTCACTGTATTTTACACAACCAAGCTAAAATATCAAAGTATTTTAGCATTTCTTCCATGAAGCAGAGAAAGTTTTCTTAAAATATCAAAAAATATGTGTCAATAGAATAGTAGATAAAATATTTTAAAATGCCAACATCAGAAAAAATTTTTTTTGCCCTTTTAGAGCATTTCCCTACTCTTGTACAATAATGGATAACTACAGAGGAAAGTGAGCCAGAATTCAGTTCTGTTGTGGCACATGAAGTTCAACCACCCAAAGGCACTTATTTTCCAAAAAGTCAGAGTCCACTGCCATTATTCAAAAAAAGCAACACACAGTATATTTATTTCTGAAATTTATTTCAGGCGACAGGACACCCACACACTGACAAAACAAACACAGAATTAAATAGTACTACCATACCCCAAGTCTACTTCCTAGCCAACGTGGGTAACTTAAGCTACCAAGCTTAGTCTATCTTAGTTTGTCCATATAGTTTCTCCCTTTATCCTCTGGCCTTACCCTTGCCTCCCACAAATTTCAAAGCCATTTATTAACAGTAGGGTTAAAACTATTTCTCCCCTTGAAGATTTTAAGACAAAACATCTAAGTAGGGCTTTTCATTATGTACTTATATAGTTGGGGGGGGGGGTAAAAAAAATTTTAAAAAAAACACACAGAAGAGGGTTTAATTTGAAAATAATCAGTATTCTGTTTGTCCAGGCCAATTGAGAATTTGTGCCAAGCAATTTCATTCATTCATCATGCCTAGGACACAGGTGACTGTATGGTAAATATTAAATAAATGCTTGTCGGTTGATGAAAAATGTACGTGGCAAAGCTGTGTACACACAGGAAACAGAAACTCGAGGTGATCAGACAAAATTAGAAAGCAATGCAAGATGTGGTTGTCCGTGCCAATAACATTTTCAAGATGCACACTGGGAAACGAGTGAAATGAAAATCTGCCATACTCATAGTTCAACATGCTGTTCCTCTTTGAATGCTAAAACTTCATTTGTAAAAGAAAAGCTATGATCAGGTTAAAATGCTTTACATTAGAGGTGCACAATATAATTTCAAAGACCAGCAGCTTTATTGCTTACTGTCTTCTTGAATGAAAAAGGTTGCTTACATTCATAATAGCAATACACCGCTTGAAGTGGAACCTTTAACACTTCTTTGCTAGACTAAAGCTAGCCTCCAACTTTTAGCAATGCCCTATGCTTTTAAATTAACCCTTTTAAATGCTGTACAAAGCTCATAACAGGAATTGCTAGCTTATACCGGATTAATTTACTACTAGATACTCATGAGGCAAACTACTGAAAATAAAGAAAACATGCATATTCCTACAGCTCTATGAATGTCAAAATTAAAGATGACATAATGATAATTTAGGATTAAGCAAGTAGAATTTGGCTGTAAGATCTCAATGGCTTATACATTTTCAGTTGCACTAAAATCTCTAAGGATCTTTTCCTTTGGAAAGAAAAATCACACACTTGAAAATAGTATCTAATGGAAAGTCTAATAAAATCATAATGGACCATAGCTGTCAACTTCAAAGAGTGTCTTTCTTCTTAAGAGCTTAAGTTGACACTCTGGTGAAACACCACAAATGCAGATGCTACCAAGGCAGCTACAAAGAGAAAAATTTTATTCACAACACTTTGCATATAAACTTTTCCTTCTGCAGATCTGTGTGGAGTTGCAAATAAAGGATGCTAATATGCACATTATGCAGCACATCAAAAAAAAAAGAGAAAACACTTTACTGGAGTGAAAATTCATTTACTGAAAACCTGGGGAAATTCACATCCCCTGTACTGCAAATTTACCCCTAAGTGACAGAAAAATACTATATGAAATGGAAAAATAAACTGATATGATTTAATCAATAGCTGATTACCTTTAAAACTTTGGGCTTCTTTTCCCTCTTGGGCCTCTTGTTTTCCTTTATAACCTAAAAAAAAAAAAAAAAAATCAAATTGCAAAATGAGCCTCTATTTAAGGGAAAAAAAATTAACTCCCACCCCCCAAAATTATTTTGGCCATTTCTCTATAAAACTACTTATACCCTTTCAAAGCATCAACATGTTTGCTAAAGCAGAAGCTCAGGAGCTTATGTAAAATGTATACTTTAAAAGTCACTGGAAAAAAAAAAAAAGCCTTGCAGAAAGATGAAGTAGGGAAATACCCTTTCTTCCCCTTAAAGTCTGTCTTAATTAGCCTCTGCATTCTTCACAGCGAAGCCCACGAGGTAGCCATCTTGCTTGCTTCTGCAGAGGAAGCCTCTACAGTGGAACAGTTCTGCAAACTGCTTTTTGGTATTATTATCATGGTGTTTCAAGGCAGCCCTGGCCTGCCAGCACTGTAGACGTGCTGGGCATGCCTTTTGCAAAAACAGCCCCACAAAGAGTGCAGCCAATGGCAATGCAGGGCTTAGCAACTCCAAAGTGATCCTCTCTGCCTAGCCTTCCCAGACAAAGGATCTCCTGTGCGGGTCTGCTCTCACCACAGGACACAGGCAGCCACAAGCTGCGACATGGAGTTCGCTGCGGAGGATCTGGTCGCAGGGAATTCACAGGAGGCTCCGGCCAAAACAATGCACACCAATCCCCGGGGTCTCCGCCATCGGATGGATGGCTGGCCGAGTCTCCCTGATGAGTAACCCCTGGGTGGCTCTGAGGGCAGGTCTGCGGTGGGGAGGGGGCGGAGGGGGGAAGCGGCGTGGCCCTGCCTCCAACATACAGGAGATATAGCTGAGCTGGGGGGGGCGGGGGGGGGCAGCTGGGCTTGCTGAAACTCTGGAAGGTATTGTGCATTTTTACTTTATAAGGCAAGGCTAAATATTGGCGATATTTAAGGCAGGAGGTTATGTGAGGACAGTGTAGGCTCAGCTGTTGGGCTGCGTGTCTCATTCCTCCGGAACCACACCTCTTTGCAGCAGGCGCTTTGCCCAGAAACACAGCAATTTGATTTCTGTCAATAAATGTCCAATGACAAAGACGGATTAAAAAAATAATAATAAAGCTCACTCTGTGACTGGAGAGAAAAGATTTATCTCTTGCTCTGGACATTTCTGGTGACCTTCATTTCCCCAAAGAAATCTCTCCCTCAAGTGTCACTAAGCATCCCCCCTCCCTCCCCGCCCCCGCCCCCCATCTGCAGGCCAGGCGGATGGACAGGGAGCTCCCCACTTCCCAGGGATTGAGACCTGAGCCAGAGGTGGAACAAGGAGCCACCAACATACACACCTGAGCTGCCCCCATGCCCAGTGGGTGGTAGGTACAGGGAGAGCTGGAACCATAGTTGGAACTTGCCAGATCCTGTCAATGGCAGAGCCAGAGGAGTTTAGCTCTGGCCATGCAATCGTGGCAATCGAGCAAGAACCAGTACAGCTGCTGTGAGCGGGCAAGTCTCAAGGTCACGGCCAACATTCAGTGCAGAGGCCGGTTAGAGCCCCATCACAGCCGCCCAGCCTCAGGTCCACCCTCACGGGTCCCAACTCTCAGCAGCACATTTGGGGCATTGGCTGGAGGGCCTCCCTGGCTGCTCAGCCAAAGGTGGGTTTTCCACTTGCAGTTGAATTCGGAACAGATTCCCACCACCAGAAACGGGGAGGGCAAGAAAGCCTGTATTTCATCACCCTTCATTCCCAGCCTTTCGGTTGGCCACAAAAGCACGCTTTCAATGTTGGAATGGGAACTCCAACATGCATTGTCTTCCCGTTTTAAACCACCTCTCCTTCACCCACCACCCTCAAAATATTTAACCAATGTAAGAAGCAAGCCTACTGGGAGCAAAACCAGCGGATCCTGACCTAATCGCACCCACCAAAGCCACCTCAACCGCACGAAGGAACTCTGTGGGGAATGAAGCAACGATGAAATAGGTAGAAAAACAGGATCAGACACAAGATTTAAGAATTGATGCAAGATGTTTTCTTAAGCTCTAGCCAGCTTAGCTCAGTGGATAGAGCGTCTGCCTGGTGCGTATTGAAGTGTCACGAGTTCAGTTCCGGTCAAGGGCACATGCCTCGCTTGCGGGCTAGGTTCCCAATGAAGGGGCCTGCAGGAGGCAGGCAATCAATGATTCTCTCATCATTGATGTTTCTCTCTCCCTTCCTCTCTGAAATCAATATATATTTTAGAAGATGCTTTCTTAAAAATAGGTGAAGCCCTAGCTGGTTTGGCTATTTTTTAAAAAAATATTTTTAAAAATTTTTTTTTAAAAAAGGAAAAATAAAAGGTGAAAACCCTCTATTTCTATTTCTTTGGAGATTTTGTGATAAAACATTTTAACACAAAATTTGCCATTTTAACCATTTTTAAGTGTACAACTTAGTAACATTAAGTACATTCACAAAGTTGTACAACTACCACTACTCTACATTTCCAGAGCCTTTCACCATTCCAGACAGACACGCTCCAAGATTCCAACTGATACTACACCATGAAGATCTGCATGTGTTTGAATACAGAATAGATGGGTAACCTCACTTTGGTGGTGACCATCTGTTCTAAATCCTATAGTTAAAGAGTTGACAGGCTCAGCTAAGGGCTTACATAACAGGGAACTTTGAGGGAGAGAATTCTAGCAGAGACTGGACGTTAAGAGAGCCATTCTCTTTATTATTTAGGGCAAAATTCATACAACTAGATCCTGTTGCAAGTACAACAACTTAGAAACTAAGAAACCTTGTGTTATAGTCTTGCTTATTCAGAACTTATTCTTTCACTTAGATCTATTTGTTTTCCCCACAATGGGTTATGATTATTAAATTGCATGTGTTGATATTCGATTTTATAATAACACAGGTGTATTAGATCCTTCAAAATAATACAAAATGAGATCTCTTTTCTCTTAAAAATCAATGATTTATAATAGAACTAAAATTTTTTAAAAATCAAAAAAGGCAGCCTAACTACTACTTTATTTTATAGATAAACGAAGGACCAAAGAGGTAATTACTTATCTCAGGCTACACAACAAGTTAGAACTTTACTTGAGCCTAGTTCTAACCATCTAGGCTGCTCTCTATACAACTGCTCTTCATTTTCAATATCCAGCAATGGCTATTTGTAAATATCCCAAAATAAACTTAACAGAACTGTCTTCAGAGGGAACTTTGTTAAGTATATGATTAACCACTATACCATACACCTGAAACTAATACAATATTGAATGTAAACTATAATTGAATTTTTTTAAAAACACGACTAACGCCCCTTTTACCCCCCCCCCCCCCCCGAAATGTCTTCAAACCACATGGTTCATTTTTAGGATAGAGAAATAACTCATATTTTTACAAGATTGGTATTTTAAATCAACGTAACAGTAGGTGTGCTTTTGTAAAAAAAAAAAGTTTTGTTCCCTCTGAGGTAAATTTATGAATAATTTCAAAATTATATTTCTCTTCCTAAGCATAAGCAATTCTGTACCCACAAGAAACTAGCCATACAAACACTGCCTAGGAGGAGAGTTCTAAAGTCATCGCAAGTTAATTCACTCTTCCTCAAAATCGACACCTCTGCAGCACAAAATCCTTCCAATATTAGCCACTCTCCTCTCCCATTAAAGCCTTACATATTTCTCTTCTGGTGTAGTGTGTGTGTGTGTGTGTGTGTGTGTGTGTGTTTTGGGAGTGGGGGAAGTTATAGATTTTACAGTGATAAAATCATAAAAATATTCCAAGTACCATATTGTAAACTTCCGGTCAATAAGAATAAGGAAAAGATGGCTTACTTTTCACAATTCGAATGGAGATCTTAAAGTTAATTTGGTTTGTTTCTTGTAAGACATAGGAACCTGGATGACCAACACTAGAGAAATCCCTCACAGATTGGATCAAGTAATACTAGACTGGGTTGAGGGCTGTTGACCCCTTTCACAGTCTTCCCTCCCTCTCCCCAATTTCCTGCCCTGAGGCTGATCTTCAGCAGCTTTTTCCCTCGTAAGGGCCAGGTCTACCTTGTATGCAGCCTACTCCCTTGCAGTCTGGCATCCTGCTGGCGAAAGTAACTGCGCTTCAGTAACAAGAATTAAGGAACAATTGAATGATGATCTTCAATTGTTGCCAAGTGAGAATCCTTGACAATGAGGTGAACCATAGATAATGCCTGAGACTAATGGGACTGATATACCACCTCTCCAATTTCAAACAATTCTTAGTACTAACTTGAAATTGACAGGCCTACTCCCGCCAATCTAGATCCATTAATTTAGAAAGAGAAAACAGCATCTATGGGTTTTTGTCAAAAATGATGAAATCACAGAGGTTACTGCTACTTAGAAATTTTTCCCCTTTTGTGAATGATGTATTAAAGTTTGCTTCTTACTATTGCTAGTCTGCCCTGTGTATTTTATATTCAATATTCTTTTTTTTTTTTTTAGTCCAGCCAGTGTCACTCAGTGGTTGAGCCTAGACCAGTGATGGCAAACCTTTTGAGCTTGGCGTGTCAGCATTTTGAAAAACCTTAACTCTGGTGCCTGGTCACATATAGAAATTTTTTGATATTTGCAACCATAATAAAACAAAGACTTATATTTTTGATATTTATTTTATATATTGAAATGCCATTTAACAAAGAAAAATCAACCAAAAAAATGAGTTCGTGTGTCAC